AGTCCTGCGTGTATTCTGACAAAAAAACATGGCGTCTGCAATGGAAAATAGCTCTTGAAAACTCTGGAAATGCCATTTCCAACAGTCTTAAATTTCAAAAATTAATGTACTTAGATGCCTCAATCGGCGCTCAAGAACTTGTGCCTTTGGTGCAAGTTCCAAAGCCACCTACCATTCATTACCAGCCTGCTACTTGAAAACTTTTTGACAGCCCTGGACTATAACCATATTTGCTATCATATTCTGTTTTATTTGAATAATTTACCCGCTTTTCTGTGATTCATCATTTCAGCCATATCAGCAATGGACAAGGTCACTGGTTCCAGTCCTCTACCACTGTCTTTAAAGATCTTGTAGTTTTGAGAAAGACACTTGATGGCAGTGTCAAGATCAACTTCTTTGACCTTGAGCGAAGACAAAACACGCCAATTTAACTACTCATCAACAGAGATGAGCATGGGGGATTAGGTGCCTGTGAGGCTGGAGGAGACCCAAACTTTAGCTGAGAGTAATGCGTAACCTTCACAACCCTGAGAGTGGCATCCAACCAGGTACCGTCACACTGCTAACCAGAGGAACCTAACATACTTACTTTATACTAATGATAGTCCATTGTAGGGAATTGGTAGGGAGCAGAAAAAAACACTTTGCAAGCATGAGCCACAACAAGCAATGACATGCGAAAGTAATGGCCTGACCTCAAGAGAATAGCTGTAAAATACCCATGAACCCCTGCCAAGCAAGTAGGGCAACCTGCACATATTTCTGACAAGAGACTTTAAGCCAGTCATGTGTCGAATTTAACTTATCCTAAATTGCATTTAGCTGCATTAAAACAGGATGAGCATAGGAGAGAAACTTACAGAGAGAGTGGAGCCTTATGTAAAACCCTCCAATATTTCCAAACTCAGTGAGCACAAAACACAAACAAACTAGTGTAACATGAGAGGATCAAGAAAGAGTACTCAAGCATCTTAACTACAGTCAAACCCCATTAATACAGACACTAAGGGGCCATAGAAAGTGTCCATATAAATGGGGTATCCATATTAAGTAAAATCCAACTTGTGGTCTATTATATATCAATGCTTCGTTCTTATTGGTTGAGCTACTACTAGGTTATATGTTATAGCCTACTAGTAGTGAAAAGCCCAGCTTTTTGGCGGCAAAAAAGGATTAAGGTCTAGTTTTAACTAGCTAAAATTTTTTTATTCTCGATATTTTTGACCAACTAGTTGGATTTTACTAAAACAATAATTATTTTTTAAAACAACAAAATAACAGTTTATTATTATTATTACTGAGCTACTATTCAGTGAAATTTGAATATTTGTGAAGAAGATTCAATTAAAATTATGATGTTGAGAGAGGATAAAAAAATATTTGGAAAATGGTATTTATTGAAAATTATTCCTCTCGCCCTCATGGCCCCTGAGTCAATAGCCCATCTCATGGGCTATTGACTCAGAGCCCATTCAAGCTCGAAAAATAATTGTTAAAAAGCAGTTTTAATTTAGAGAAAATATAAAATATATTTGCCCGGGGACAAACTGCCTGTGATGATGATGTATCTATAAAGAAGGGTTTGACTTTATTACCGATACTAAACTACCAAGTAGTTCCAAACCTACCAGAACATAATCAGACTGATATGTTGAGATGACCAGAACAGAAACTTGGAAGTCTGCCAAAGGAGTGATAATAGTCTTGACAATTTTACTGATTCCAGTCAGCTGATGGCTTCCATAAGCACCAGCAGAAACAGTTAAAACTCGCCAAACAAGATCAGGCATGTCAATACTGTCGCTTTTGGGGAGCTCTGTCAAAGAAATTGTTAGATAAAATTAGTGATATTATTTAAGAATACTTGTAAACCGTTCTTCAGAAAAACAAAACTTGTCATGGGCCAAAAGTATCCTAACTATTAGTGAGGGTTGCTGTAGAGTAAATTGGCTTCTGATCTCAATCTAGACCTAAAATTTGTCAAAGATCCTCTTACTCGGGTTTTGGGTATCACGTTCCTCTGTTCATAAATATTTTAAGTGGCACTTTTGCATAGAGGGTAACAGAACATTTTTCTTTACTACCAAGAGTGAAGATTGATGGAAATTTATGTTAGCTACTGTTGCATTCAACAACCAAAATATGAATGATAAAAATGGCTTTGGATCTTACTACATAATCTTTTAATGTTTTGGAACTCTACAGCCCTATAAAAGGAAATTTTCAGGAAAGACCAGAATTGTTTGTATAACCCTCAGTGAATTTTTAAAAGCTTTGGAGGAAAGGGAAAATCTTAAGCAAATTGTTTAAAACTTAAAATTAAAGAAGTTTTTTCTATACAGTAAACAAGGCAGTGCTTGTATCAAAGATATAAATTTCCATTCCTGGTGTTCAAGTCAATTTCACAATCTCTTGCTGTGAATACTCTTATGAAATAAATATTGAGTTGAAGGTAAGAGATCTGCCCACCCATACATTATGTTCCCTGTTTACTTATCACAATTTTTATTACCCCAGTAAACCTATGTGGGTGAGATAAAAGATAAGAAATTTTTGACAACTAGTTTGTATAATAAATAACTGGTGGCTTACAGCACAAAGAAACAAAAATATACATTTGATATCATAATCATCCGAAAAATAATGGGCACCATTTACAAGTATCACGAGAGAGATTCCATTCACTTAGTCAAACTAAATGATTTCATCCACAGGCACAAAACTTATTGGCACATGCTTTTCATTCTCCATAAAAAAAAGGTTTTAGTAAAACTATATTGGTTTCTGAACTTAAAAAGAATAATTAAAATTATATTTTAAAGTAGTCTAATACATAATGCAAGAAAACAATATACATGTATGTTATTTTTTGAATGACAAAAAACTAAAACTTTAAAAAATGAAAATTGAATAGAGCACCTTGAATGATTTTTAATTCAAAAAATCAACAAGAAAAAATAATCCTCTGCAACAGGCCTTAACAAAGGTGTTTTAGTCCAGAGTTTCCATCAACACACAAAATCTAAACAGAGCCTCAATGGGTTACTGAAATCCATACCACTGAAGGATTTTGGAAATGTGTTTTATCCTTCCTACATAAATCAATAGCAAGTGCTCAAATATTTACTATTATTAAAAAAATGTTTTGCCATAATTTTCAGAAATGACCACTGGTTACAACCATTAACATAAAACACTAAAAATCGCTTTCAGCTACTAAAATTTATGATGATGGCCGGGAATTCATCAGATTGTGTAATGTGAGAGGAGTTTGTTTACATCGAGGAAGGGACCTCCGATGCCATTTCCTGTCACAAGAAAATAAAATGAGAGCAGAGTCCGACGAAACCTCTTTACCCGGAGGTTTCACGTGAACTCCTCTGCCCAGTGAGTTATCTTAACACACGAAGTTAAAGTTTATGGTCTGTTAGGCTGGAGTGAAACTTCTTTTTTTATCGTTTTCATCAAAGTGATCATCTGTTCCAAAACAATATCAATATGAGAATCTCACGCGAACATGTAACAGTATGATAAAGGGATAAAGATCCTTACTGTATTACATAACATACTGTACAATATACTTTGCTTCTCGGAAACAAATATCTGCAACAATTACAGGTAGTTCGTAAATACAGTTTTCGAAACATCCTTTCCAATATGCAATCTCGCTTTTCCCGCGCAAAACAATCCACGTTATCTTGGCATGCTTCATGAATATAAACATAAAAGTTTACACGGCACAACTGAATTACCTTTACAAAGTTCGTCTTCGACGATGATTGTATAGCCATCTCTGGTTTCTGTAAAGCTGAAGAACCTTGGCCTGTAAGAAAATACAGAATTAATAAACATATGGCAGATTTCACACAGAACAAGAAGCACGGGAAAAAAAACCTTCTCTATGGGTTGGAATTGATAGCAACTCGCCGCATCCAGACCGTAGTTTACATGCGAATTTAATCAATGTTGTAATCTAAAATATTGCATGTCTACTGGAGTACAAATGTATTAAGTTCAAACATTTTTTCACTGAAGATCTGAAAAGAGAAATAGGCTTACAAAAAAATAATAAAGCCACAGAACGCCCATACATACTTTGATCGAGGTAGTAATGAAATTTTTATAAGAGCATGTGTATACAGAGAGATCGCATCCTTCTTTAAGTTGGAAACTCGTAGTTTGTGCTCCAGAATATGAAGTTCAGAAGAATGGCTCAATATTCCGTTCATCATATTGTTCAAACACAACAAGAGACGTCAAAAGCGATGCGTTTCTTGCTGGAAGTACTTCTCTGTTGTTGAGCCCACTTCCCGCGGTTCTATGGGTTTCAAAAGACGCGCGATCGGATGTGAATTAAAAAGCACACGAAGGGTCAACCTCTTGTCAAACTATAAAGGAACTTCCTGTCATAGCCAAGTGACGATAACAAAAAATGTTTTCCCAAACTGAGATCAAAGTTCCAGTAAATTCGTATGTCCACGTAAAAGCTTCATTACAGGGGTGCAGAGACCGATCGCCACTCGCCACACCTGTTAGTACGAGTTTTCAAACCGTGCAAAAGATTGGCTGCCCCAGAAGAGGCTGCAGTCTATTAAGTGAGTAGGAGGCAATGTGTATTTCCTTTCCCACACTCGGAGGACCGCAATTATTAATGAAAACAAATCGTTTGATCGGTTTGTCCAGAACAGTAAGATGGCGTTACATGCACGTTACGTAAGTGAGGGCCTCGATATCAAACTAAATGCCTGGTTACAAGGCGATGTGTAGCCTGACTAGAGTAGGGTGAGACCAAAAGATATTTAAACGGGAATGACAAGATCATTCTCGGAAAATGCAAAGTGTCAACTTGTCTTCTTTCCTATATTTATTATATAGATTCGATATATAATTTTTTTTAATGAGGGAAAAAATTATAAGTAAGTAAACTTAAGTGACAAATAACCTTACCTACCCCTACTGAAGGGAGGATTGTGTTTGTCCTCTCTTCCAACACAACAGTTCGCCTGGTCGTTTACTTACAACCAAAATGTCGATTTTTACTCCAACAAATCAAGTAAAACTAACAAATGTCGCAGTGGTGAGATTGAAGAAGGCTGGGAAGCGCTTTGAAATCGCGTGCTATAAAAACAAAGTGATGTCTTGGCGGAACAAAGTGTGAGTAGCTGCTTCAGTCTTCCGCTCTTCGGTCTGGTATTTTTTTGCTGACATTGCAATTAAACAGAATGTAAAGGAAAACATAGAAATATTACTAGTGGATTTTATTGATCAGTTTGTAACTTTTCAACCATATTCTTTGACAGCGAGAAAGACATTGATGAAGTTCTTCAAACGCACACAGTTTTCACAAATGTTTCAAAGGGGCAGATGGCTAAAAATGAGGATTTAACTAGGGCATTTGGAACAACCGATCAATCAGAGATTTGTTTACAGGTACTTTAAAAAGCCGTTTACAAAACCTGGATCACATTAGACCAGATTAACCCTGTATTAGCTGCAACCATATCCTTGACCTTTGGTCATTTAGTTATTATGAGTTGAAGTGGTTGATCTGATCCAAGTTTCGTGATGCCTCGCCTTTTACATAATTTCAGCAATAATGCACTTATCAATGTTAAGCACCAAGGTGGGGGGTGGGGGGGGGAGGGGGCAGACCCAGGGGAATTTGACATTTTCATGGAAGCCAGAGTCAAATTCCCCATCCCCAGACACATACTGAAAGTCAATTTCCCGCCCCTGGGGTAACTTTTTCTATCAGAGTAAGGACTTAATAATAATTGACAGGTTGGAAAGGATATGTCTTTTCAAACCTCACATAGTGTTTACCGCAACACAAGAGAGGCAGTGCCAGAAAATGTCATCCTCTGCAGGGCGTAATAATGGTGGCCAGGATGCTCTAACACAAACTTGATGACAGTACAAGTCACATGCGTCACACTGTATCCACAGGACTTGTTCTTGGGCATTATCAGGATACTCAAACAGAGCAAAGAAAATATGCATAATAATTAGCTTTTGAATGTAATCAAGCATCATGTAGAACATTCATGAAAATGAAAACATGCACAAAAAGTAATCCAGGAGAAACAGAAGGAACAAAGACTCTTCTATTTGTAAACATTCGATCATACAATGAAAGAAGTGATGGTTCATATATACCGAAAAATAAAACAGATTTTCTTACCTTTCTTTCGCTCATGTTGTGTTGATCCTTTGAAGAAAAGCTGAGGTCATTCCCCTCTGGTGACTTCTGGATATTAGCAAGACTGCAGGTCACTCATTTCCAGTTTCTCTCGGTCTTCCAAGATGGTGGCCATGCCAAAATTCCAACCCTGGGGTCCTGAGGCAACGCGTAAACGTCAAATTCCCTACCCAGGGGAAGGCTCTCTCAGTCAATTTCCCGTGCATTTGCCATTTGCCTTTTGCCACAGACACGACTCTAAATCTCTCTACTATTATTGATGATTGGTTTTGTGTCTTTAAAGATCCTAGCAAAGGGAGAGCTTCAAGTCTCAGAAAAGGAAAGAAGCACGCAGCTTGAATCAATGTTCAGAGACATTGCTACAATAGTGGCTGACAAATGTGTCAACCCAGAATCCAAAAGACCCTATCCTGTAGGGATAATAGAGAGGGCAATGAAGGATATACATTATTCAGTTATACCAACAAGAACAACAAAACAACAGGTAAACATGGTTTGTGCTGGTTTTTGGTTTTTAAATTCAAGGGGTAAATTCACGGAGTACAAAAGCACCAGTTTTTAGAGACAATTCAGTGCATACTGTGATGCATTTTCCCTGACCAATCTTTGAATTACTTTATTTAGTTAGAACAGTATTACATGTATTAATTTCTCAAACGCAATAATTCATCAAGAAAATACAAAGGAAATAAATGTTTAAAGAGTGTTCGGAAATCAGATGAAAAACTGCTCATTTTTGCATCCTTAATTTCTTCTAGTTGACTGAATCTAATGATGGTAATGTTTGCTCAATGTCACGTGTCACATCTTGACTCTAAGTTAATTCAAGCCCCTTTATTTTAAATTTTTCAGGCTCTTGAAGTTATAAAGCAGTTGAAAGAGACTATGGAAATAGAACGTGCTCAGATGCGCCTGCGACTATTTGTACCCAGCAAAGAAGCCAAGCGAATTCAGGAAAAACTCAAACCTAACATATCAGTAATTGAATCAGAAGATTGGCAAGGAGGGGGTTTAGAAATGGTAAGAACAATAATTGGTTCATGAGGTTAGAATAACAAAGCTTTTATTCTTATTTAGCAGTAGGCTACTTCAAGAGGAAATAATGGGACGGACAGGGAAAATGCCCAGTCTAGCCCTTGGGGTATGGGAATTTCACCAAAGTTATTTTTAGACCAGTTAAATGCTTTAATTAATGGAAAGTTGGAAGGAAGGAAGGAAGCAGTCCATAAACTTTTATTCAGCGTTGTCAAGAGAGAAGTCAATGGTCACCATTACAGACGTCCTCCAATTTTTTCTATGAAGCAGGCATACAAGGACTTGATGACATTTCAAACAATCAATGAAAATTTGCAGACATCCTAGGAATTAGACGTCCCTTTACAACCTCTAAAAATAACTTAATAAGTGAAAGTCACATATCCCAGCCAATGCCCTAAGATTCCTCTCTGTCCCATTTTTGTTGGCTATTTTGAAAAACACCGTAGCATTCTTTGACGTATAAACTCACTCTTGTGGAGGCGTGTATGGCCAAGCGGTTAAGACGGAATCCAATTCTCAGTGGACAAACCCCTTGTACCAGGATAATTTAAAGAATATTGCATTCTTTGTTACATTTTTCAAGGCCTAAAGATAAAATAACACCAAAGAAAATTTGCCATGGGAGTACGAGAAAATGAATGTCAAATTTCACAAGAATTGTGAAAACACTGGTAAAATTCTGAAAATCTCATGTGAAAGATGTAATTTTGTGAAACTTGACATTCATTTTCTCGGGCTCCCATAAGATGTTAATATTACAGGTGACTAATAATTACATCATTAGCCCTTGGAAAATGTAAAAAAGAATGCAATGTGCTTTAAATTATTATGGTGGTCAATAAAAACTTGTCCACGTTGTCTATCTAACCTCGAACTCCGGATCTGGAGGTCCAGGGTTCAAGCGTCGCCCATCACGTTGTTTCCTTAGACAAGGAACTTTACTCCACTTCGTCTCTCTTTGCCCAGGTGTATAAATGGGTATGACATACTGCTGGGGGGTAACCCTGCGATGGACTAGCATCCCATCCATGGGGGAGTAGCAATACTCCTAGGCATGCTTCAGGCTACAGAAACCAGTATAAGCTCCGGCTGTTCGGGCCTTTGGCTTGTGTGCGCCTTTACCTGTTACCTCACCCTTGCTAGGTAGTAATGTTGCATGTAAAATCATCCAGTATTCAATCTAATTTTATATTTTACAATTCAAAGAAGATAATTAAGGAAATTCTGGATCAACATAATATCAGATTTTACCTATGTAACAGTGATTGTGTCAATCCCCCCAGATTATGGAATTAGGCAAATTATCATAGAATGGAGCTTTTCATAAGTATATAAATCCTCAAACAAATTAATGGGAAGTGGGCTTCTAAACCCAATATTTTACAGGAATTGTATCATTTTTGCTGCTGTTAGCAGTACTGTGCAGATGCAAATTTGCTGTGAATATGCATTTTATATTGTTGAAAAGCTCATGCACAGAATTGGCAGTTCATTATTCACTCTGGTCTGATTGCGAAAATTAGTTCCCACCAAACAAAAAAAAATTGTCAACTGCCAAAATCTTGTGTCATATTGTATCGTTATTTTAATATTTATACTCACATATAATTTCTTGTATTAATTTGTACCATTTCTTCCATATTTTTCTATATTTTATATTTCAAGCCCTGAGTTGTATGGTTAAACATTTTTCCCACACCTAAAATTTTGTTGTTGTCGGATTTCTCTCTAGGTTTGTCTCATTGATCCAGGTTGCTACAGAGTTATTGATGAAACACTTAGAGCTGAAACACGTGGAAGAGGAACATTGGAAATGATCAGTTTAAAGGATATTGAGGAAGGGGATGAAAGACTTGAATAACAAATCATACTCATTGTAGACCAAAGTCTTTTTCAAAGTTTAAATTTTATTATTTTAGAGGCCAGTTAAATGTTGAGAACAAAGGTTGTAAAAAAGTGTACATTAAATATGGTCAGCAAAGCAAAAAAGTGATATTTAACAACAGTGTCATTCATATTTCAAACCCTCAGAAAACTGACACATTCTACAGTTTACTATTGTTGACCATACATGTAAGTAGATTCCAAGGAATCAAATTCTTACTTTAGAGCCTTGCTTTAACACCTACTCTGGAAATAAAATAATTTCAATGAAACCCTCGCTGTGGTGGATTCAGATCTTCTTGTAAGTGTGGGCCTACTCAGGGGGCTTTCCAAAAGTCACAACTGGCCAGAACCAGTCATTTTGACAATGAAATACTGCCTTTTTCCAAGAGTTTTTGCTGAAAAAAAAATCTCTTTCATGCACACATACTATTTAGGATTTTACTGATCTGGCTGGATAGTTTTGATTAAAAGTGAAATTCTCATTATGATGGGGAATTCTGACAAATGGAAAGGCCCTAGGATATCAGGGGCATCAGCCTCATTCCTGAGGGCTTTAGTAGGTCTTATAGCTTTTTTCTTCAGCTTATACTTGAGGAACCAATCAGTTACATGTAGTGACACAAATCCTTTAATTAACATAAACTGACCATTCCTCAAGGCCTACAGTGATCACTGTTCCATTATCAAACACTGCCAAGTCCAAGGGTTTGGCACTTATTAGGGCCATTTATACAAGCAAAAATATGACATTTCTTACACAAGGTGCATCTTAAAGGAGACGCGAAGTGTACCATAATATACAAGCATATCAGCTGCATCCTAGTTTTAAGACTCAAAAGCATTTTTGTTAGCCTGAATTTCATCCGATTACTTTGAGTCGTTATTACTCCCTCAGAGAGGAGAAAATGACTCGAAGCAATCGGATGAATTTCAGGCTACATTTTTGTGCCACATTTACAAAAAGTTTACATCTAATTTAAAATGCATCTTATTTTTTCCTCATATAGATGGCCCTATTGTCTTCATCACACTTGAATGAAAAGCTTGCATGATTGTATGCCTCTGAAACACTGAGCTCATCAGGTTGAAACTCTCGAGATTCAGCTGATTTGTCTTAAAATGACACCTAAAAAAAAGAACCATGTTGTCATAAACTGCATGAGTTAATTCTACACAGTTACTGCTAATTTTTGAGACTTCTCCAAATTTTTTTTTTTTGCCATATTGCTTTGTTGGGTAAAATGCCTCAAGATTCAGTTCTCACAAGATCTAGCCTTGGTTGCTAAAAAAAATTGTTATATTTGATACAGAGTGAATTCAAGTCTAGGAAGACTAGTCTCTCAAACTGAAACACAGCCTTTCAGCTTGTTATTTAAGGTGGCTGAACACAGTTTTGTGGGTGGTCAGCGGCAACTCGCATGACGGCAAGTGTTTTAAATTAAACATACAAACATGGCGGCGAAAAGCAATGATACACAGAAGACAATTTCTCAAAATCTACTCATTAAAATTTTGTGATATTTGGCAGACGTTTTACTTTTTATCATATTTTAAATAATGCAAACTTAAAAATGCAAGTTGAACAGACAAATTTTGTGACACATTTAATAATTACAGTACAATTATATTACTGATTATCTAAAAACCAGTCTGTTAAAATTTGGTCAAATAAGTTTCAAATGGTAATGATTAATTATAATAAGCTGTGTGCAAGTTAATAGGAAAATCTAATGAGCGAATTTTATGTAAACTGAGCAAAAGTGAAAATTTAAGGTTGTATTCAGTCGTTCATGTTGCCATGGAAACTGCAAAAATGTCAAATTTTACCTGTCAATCAAAATCTTTCATCAGTATATTTTTCACTCGCCAAGTTTCAGCTTGTGAGCTGGAACCTTTTTCTTGCCACGATTTGGCAAATGACATATACTCACAAACTGCCTAAACTGTGTTCAACCACCTTAATAGCGCTCAAACATGACATTTGGCAACGTTCACTAGTCTATTTTGGGTACAAACTGAAATTTTCCTGTATGCGTGTGATAAATATTTTCAGTCCACGGGGGTGAGACATGCATGTTATGGCAGATATAGAATGTCTTACAATAATTGTAGTTCTTGCCTACCAGAAATAAAATAACAGTAAACTTACATTGAAAACACTGCAGTTGCTTATCTTAAAGCCAAGGAAAGGCAGAGTTCTTGATGTAAGTAATAAAATCATAAATTGTATAATTAATTTCTGGTTGCTAGGGTTAGAACCAGATTCCTTGGAATTCTCATGCTCAGAGCAGCTCAAGGGTTCAAAGTGTGTACTTATTTAAGTTCTCAAGGATAAAGCCCTTTCGTATGGAAGTTATTGGGGTTAAATACTTTACTGAAAACATCACGGGTCAGATAACAGGCAAGTCCTCAGCCCAGGGGTGTGGCCTCTAAAAGACAAATTATTCATTTTAGGTTCACTGAGAATATAGAACATGCTTTACCTCGACTGATCCTTCATTTATTATGCCATGTGGATAACTTCTTTTTGAGCATAATCTATTTACAATTCAAGAACAAGTCATCTCCAATTATCCACAACGGAGGTAGATACTTCATGTATTTTGTTCCCAATGTTCGTCCTTGGGTTGGAGACCACGTGACTAGGATCGAATTTGTTTTTTTTCCTCAACGAGAGAACAGATTCGTAAATGCCACTCAATAAAGAGCACATTACAAATCAGCAAAGAGAGTATTGGGAAGTTTCAGGTATATTTATATATTATCAGTTGAATCAGTTATCTTCGCGTCTAATACCCCCACCCCACCACCCCCACTATCCATCTAAACATCCTCTATGGGTGGGGAGAGCGGTACTATGTT